GTCACTTCCAAGGTTCACCATTTAGCCGGGGATTGGACAGCCCCATAAAACAAAATGGGACTAATGAGGCACAGCAGTCCAGGGACAAGGACTAGATGGCAGAAGAGGACAGGAAAGCTGGTGATAGGGAAGCTAAGGTTGAGTAAGGACAGTGTTGACATGTAGTGGGTTCGTTAACCATTGTCATAGAGCAACTTGTGTACTGTTTAATGAGAAACTATTTTGTTCTGTAAACCTTCATCTAAAGTGAGAATAGCAGCACAACTGGAAGAACGTAATCGATGTCTCTAAACTGTGCATGTAGAAATTTTTGAAATTGTGTATCTTTGGCTATGTATATTTTCACCAAAAAAAAAGGTCAAGAAGGGAGAGAGTTGACATGTCATGGGGTTGTTAACCAATGCTATAAAACAATATGTGTACTGACTGTTTAATGAGGAACTATTTGTTCTGTAAACTTTCACCTAATGTACAATAAAAAATTAAAAAATAGAATAATTCAAGATCTATCCTGAAGCACAACAATGTCAGTGATAGGATAATATTCATACGCCTACAAGGCAAACCAGTTAATACGACTATTATTCAAATCTACTTACCAACCACTAAGGACAAAGATGGAGAAATTGAAGATTTTTACCAACTTCCGCAGTCTGAAATTGATCAAACATATAATCAAGATGCATTCATAATTACTTGTGATTGGAATGTGAAAGTTGGAAACGAAGGATTGGTAGTTGGAAAATATGGCCTTGGTGATAGAAATGATGCCGGAGATCATATGATAAAACTTGCAAGACCAACTACTTCATTGCAAATACTTTTTTTCAACAACATTATGGTGACTATACACATGGACCTCTCCAAATGGAATACACAGGAATCAAATCAACTACATTTGTGGAAAGGGACCATGGGAAAGTTCAATATTATCGGTCAGAACAAAGCCAGTGGTTGGCTGTGGAATAAACCATCAATTGTTCATATGCAAGTTCAAGTTGAAGCTGAGGAAAATTAGAACAAGTCCATGAGAGCCAAAGTATGACCTTGAGTATATCCCAGTTGAATTCAGAGACCATCTCAAGAACAGACTTGACGCATTGAACAATAATGACCGAAGACCAGACAAGTTGTGAAATGACGTCAAGGACATCATACATGAAGAAAGCAAGAGGTCATTAAGAAGACAGGAAAGAAAGAAAAGACCAAAATGGATGTCAGAAGAGACTCTGAAACTTGCTCTTGAATGTAGAGTAGCTAAATGAAAGGAAGAAATGATGAAGCAAAAGAGGTAAACAGAAGATTTCAAACGGCACCTCATGCAGACAAAATAAAGTGTTATAATGAAATGTGCAAAGACCTGCAGATAGAAAATCAAAATGGAAGAACATGCTCAGTATTTCTCAAGCTGAAAGAACTAAAGAAAAAAATCATACTCAAATTGCAATACTGAAGGATTGTACAGGGGAAATATTAAACCATACAGGAAACATCAAGAAAATGGAAGGAATACACAGAGTCACTCCACCAAAAAGAAGTGGTCGACTTTCAACCACTTCAGGAGGTAGCATGTGCTCAAGAACTGATGGCACTGAAGGAAGAAGTCCAAGCTGCACTGAAGGCATTGGCAAAAAACAAGGCTCCAGGAATTGACAGAATACTAATTGAGATGTTTCAAAAAATGGATGGAGCACTGGAGGTGCTCACTCGTCCGTGACAAGAAATTTGGAAGACAGCTACCTGGTCAACCAATGGGAAGAAATCCTTATTTGTATCCATTCCAAAGAACGGTGATCCAATGAAATACAGAAATTATCGAACAATATCATTAACATCACACACAAGTAAAATTTTGCTGAAGATTATTCAAAAGCGGTTGCAGCAGTACATCCCCAGGAAACTGCCAGAAATTCAAGCTGGATTCAGAAAAGGATGTGGAACAAGGGATATCATTGCTGACCTCAGACAGCTCATGGCTGAAAGCATAATACCAGAAAGATGTTTACTTGTGTTTTATTGACTATGCAAAGGCATTCGACTCTGTGGATCATAACAAATTATGGATAATATTGTGAAGAATGGGAATTAAAGAACACTTAATTGTGCCCATGAGGAACCTGTACTTAGACCAAGAAGCAGTCATTCCAAAAGAACAAGGGGATACTGTGTGGTTTAAAGTTATGAAAGGTGTGCATCAGGGTTGTATTTTTAACCATATTTATTCAATTTGTATGCTGAGCAAATAATCTGAGAAGCTGGACTATATGAAGAAGAATGGGCATCAGATTGAAGGAAGACTCATTAACAACCTGAGTTATGTAGATGACACAACCTTGCTTGCTGAAAGTGAAGAGGACTTGAAGCTCTTACTGATGAAGATTAAAGACTACAGCCTTCAGTACGGATTTCACCTCGACATAAAGAAAACAAAAATCCTCACAACTGGACCAATAAGCAACGTCCTGATAAATGGAGAAAAGATTGAAGTTGTCAAGGACTTCATTTTACTTGGATCCATAATCAAAGCCCAAAGAAGCAGCAGTCAATAAATCAAAAGACATAAAGTGATACTCGTGAGGAGTGTGTCTCTTAGCTCCAGTAGATACAAGAGACTAAACGGGCACCTTCTGTCCAGAGGTGAGATGGGAAGGCAGAGAGGGTTAGGAGCTGGTTGAATGGACATGGGGAATCCGGAGTGGAAAGGAGGAGTGTGCTGTCACAGTATGAGAAGAGCAATTAGGGTCACGTAAGAATGTGTGTATAAATTTTTGTATGGGAGACTAACTTGAAATGTAAACTTCCTTTAAACTACAACAACAAAAAAATAAAAATAAAAAACACTCAAGACACACACACAAAATGAAATCAAAAGACTCATTGCATTCGGCAAATCTGCTGCAAAAGATCTCTTTAAAGTGTTAAAAAGCAAAGATGTCATTTTAAGGACTAAGGTGCACCTGACCCAAGCCATGGTGTTTGCAATCAATTGCCTCATATGCATGTGAAGACTGGACAATGAATAAGGAAGATCAAAGAAGAACTGAAGCCTTGAATTATGGTGTTTGTGAAGAATATTGAATAAACCATGAACCGCCAGAAAAATGAACAAATCTGTCTTGGAAGAAGTACAGCTGGAATGCTCCTTGGAAGTGAAAACGGTGAGACTTCATCTCAAGCTCTTTGGACATATTATCAGGAGGGATCAGTCCCTGGAGAAGGACATCATGCTTGATAAAGAAGACAGTCAGTGAAAAAGAGGAAAATTCTCAAAGTGATAGATTGACACAGTGGCTGCAACAATGTGCTCAAGCATAACAATGATTGTGAGGATGGCACAGGACTGGGCAGTATTTCATTATGTTGTACATAGGGTCGCTATGAGTCAAAACTGATTCGACCACTCCTAACAACTGCAAGCTCAGAGAGACTTTAGCTCTAATTCAATTTCTTCCACTGTGTATGCTGCTGTGTGACATTGGGTGGGCTGTTTACCCTCTCTGAGCCCCAGTTTTTTTGTCTGCAAATGTAGCAATATCTACCTTATAGTGTTGAGGATTAAATGAGATAATGCAATATAAATCTCCCAGCGTAGTCCTTGGTAGATATTAAGTTCTCATTGAGGGTAATTATTATAATTTTAAGCTACATATATATTAGGAATAGCTTTCCTCGCTTTGTCCTTTGTGATTGAGTGGAACTAACAGCAATTAAGATGCTAGTTACCAACAGACAAGCATTCCAATTTATTCACTCCTTTCCATTCCTTCGATGCTTTCTGAATGCTTGGTACTCCTCACACACGGAAGAAGTAAAATACAATTTTCATGTCTTGGCAAAATAATACTGAGCATTAACTAATAGTCATTTTTAACATAGTAAGTACATTCAGGTAAGGCAATTCATAGGATTGCAATGAGTGGTTTAGTGTGGTGGTTAGTGCTAGAGTTCTGAAGTAAAAATGACAAGATTTTGAATGCTTGGTGTGTGATCATGGGTAAGTAAATTTATCTCCAAGAGCCTCAATTTCTTCATCATTAATTGAGGGTGAGAGGAACAACTTCCTCATCACATTAAATGATACAGTGCATGCAAAGTGCCTGGAACATAGCTTGTTGTTGGGTGCCGTTGAGTTGATTCCAATTCATGGCAACCCCATGTTATGGAGTAGAACTGCCTCATGGGCTTCCCTAGGCTGTAATCTTTACAGGAGCAGATAGCCAGGTCTTTCTCCTGCGGAGCTGCTGGGTGAGTTTTCTCTGCTGTGCGTGTTTGCATCTCTCGGTGGGCTTGCAGCTTTTGGTTAGCAGCCAAGTGCTTAACTGTTGCACCACCAGGGCTCCTTGGAAGATAGTTAATGTTCAATAAACGGTGACCTTCATCATCACCGGCATCACCACCACCACTACCATCATCATCTTCATCAACATCATATTTCACCATAATCACTTTCGTTATCGTCGTCATCATCACCATAATCACCTTCATCATCCCCATCACCATCACCATCTATATCATCACCATCATCATCTTCATCAACATCATGTCATCACCTTCATCATCACCAAAGTCACTTTCATTATCATCATCATCACCATAATCACCTTCATTTTCTCCATCATCATCACCACCTACAGCATCATCATCATCATCCATCATCATCACCATATATAGAGCCCTTATGGTGCCTGGCATTTAGTAAGCACCTTTTCTATAGCTGAGAGAGTTTAATTTAAATAAAACGAACCAGCATGAGCATGGCCAAGATTGTACAGAAAACCCTTGAAAGAGTAATAGAGGGTAGGGCGTGGCATCTGTATCTGTAGTCTCCCCATTTTAGGGCCCTTTGTTTTGCTCCAAACTCTGGATGTAATGCAGCCTCTATATTCTTCAAACTTCCAGGTGCGAATGGAATACAAGAAATGGTTCAGTGGGATGCGGAAAGGGTTTGAAATGGAAAGCACTGAGCTGTCTCACTCTACTACCCACACCAAAATGGTAAGATCCACCTCTCTGCAATGCCATGAACTTGTCTGAACCCAACATCTTGTGCTACTAGGCGCTTCCTGGTTCCTTGATCTGAAAGAAAAGGGAGATTGCACTAGGTTCCTGTCATTTTGCAGCTGAAGTTTCATTTTTAGAGACCACAACAAGAAGAGCTCCTCCTTCCTTCCCTCCCTTCCTCCCTTTCTTTCCTTTTCTTTTCCTTCCTTAGTTCCTTCCTTTCTACAGTCTTTTCACAAATATCCAAAGGATATTTGTCCAAATGTCATCTTTTATTTAACAAATATTTACTGAGTGTCTAGTATGTCTACGCAGTGTTTTAGGTGCTGAGGAAACAACCTTACAATCGTGATTGGTCCTCACACATGCCATGACTGCAGTATTTAAGTGGAGCCTGGGTTTAAATCCCAGATCCACCACTTTCAGGTTGCCTAACCTTGAGCAAGTGACTTAACTTCTCCGTGCTTCAGTTTCCTTATCTGTAAAATGGGGATACTAATACTATATGTCTCATCATGAGAATTAAATGAGGTCATATAAGTGCTTAGAATGGCACACAGGAAGCACATTGTGCTTGTAAAAGATAAAATGATAACATAAACTAAAAAAGAACCATCATCCTTGGTGTTCTTTGGGAAAAGTGAAATATTGGGGCACTTTCTGAGCATTGGACCTTACAGAAATTCTAGCTGTCATCCCTAGGCATGTTAGAAGTTTTAATTAATTTTTGAGGGGTTAATTTCTCTTCAGAGCCCCTGGGTGGTGCAGTTTATGCTCTCAACTGCTAACCAAAAAGTTGGAGGTTCAAGTCCACTCAGAGGCACCTCGGAAGAAAGACCTGGCAACCTGCTTCTGAAAAATCAGCCACTGAAAACTCTATGGAGCACACTTCTACTCTGATACACATGGGGTGGCCAAGAGTTGGAGTTGACTGACAGCTACTGGTTTGGTTTGGTAATTGCTCTTCAGCTTTCTCCATATTATCTCCCCCAATTAGGAGGAACCCGGAAAGTCATCAGAGTTTGTACAAAGAAGAGACACCAAAAACACCACATTCGCCCAACCAGAGCCGCCAACTCATCTTGCCACTGTTTCTTCGCTGAAGACAGAGAAATGATCTGCCCATCCATGGTGCCCCCTTGTGGTCACGCGTAGTTTGGACAAATGCCACCATGTGTATCTCTTCGCTGTGAAAAGTCGACTCCTTCCTTTATTTTGTCCTCTTGCTCCCTAGAAAGAATGGGACACATGCAGAATTCTTACAGCCAGCATCCGATATTGGGTCATGAGCCATTAAAAGTGCTCAAGGGATGCTGTTTTTTTTTGGCATCTAATTTGTTTTTATTGTTGCTGAAAGTATACACAGCAAAACATATGTCAATTCCACAATTTCTACATGTACAATTCAGTGACATTGATTACATTTTTCAAGCTGTATAACCATTCTCACCCTCCTTTTCCAAATGTTCCTCCCCCATTAACATGAACTCACTGCCCATTAAGCTTCCTGTCTGACCTTTCAAGTTGCTGTGTCAATTTGATCCCATATAGATAGGTCTTCCAAAGAGCATGATGCCCAAGGCAGACATTTTTTACTAAAAAACTAACTTATTGTTTGGTTTAAAGAGGACTTCAGGAGATATTTTTGGTTGAAGGTTTAAAGATTATCTCAGGGCAACAGTTTTGAGGGTTTGTCCAGCCTCAATTGCTCCAGAAAGTCTGGATTCTATGAGAATTTGAAATTCTGTTCTGCATTTTCCCACTTTGATCAGTATCCTTCTATAGAATGTTTGATCAAAATGTTCAGGAATGGTAGCTGGGCACCATCCATTTCTTCTGATCTCATGGCAAAGGAGGCAGTTCATGGAGGCAGTTAGCCATACATTCCATTTCCCCCTCCTATTCCTGCTCTCCTTCCTCAGCTGCTCCAGGTGAATTGAGACCAATTGTTGTACCTTGGATGGCTTGCAAGATTTTAAGACCCCAGGCAGTATGCAACGAACCAGGAGGTAGAATAGAAGCACTAAAAATGACTTTAGGTAAATTAACCAAGATGTCTCAAGTGATGTTTTGTAATAATGAGGGAAATGGAATTGAGTTTCTGATCCTTTAGCTAACAACTGGGTTTAATTCACAGTGCCCCTGCCTCCCTCTCCCATTCCTCTCCCTGACTTGTGTAGTGTTGTGTTTTATGCTCCCAAATATCTTTCATAACCTACATTTGCCTAACTCAATAATCTCCATATGAATTAATATATAACGGTGCAGTTGCATTCTTGGAATGCAAAGATACATCGTCACTCATACTTAGGGACACATTGTGGATGGGAAGAGGCTTGTAGCCAGGTCACCAGCACTTCCCCATCTTTTGTTAAACCTGATAATGTGCTCAAACCTAAATGTAGACCTAGGTTAAAGATAATTTTGTTTTTTTCTTAGTGCCATCTTGAATATTTCCCAGCATAAATGCCCCAAACGACATAGCATATCACAGTGATGATTTGATCTTATTTATCATTTTTAATTTCTTCTCCAGAATGGTTGA